AGGGAGGCGGCACCGGGATCCGCTGTCCCGAACCGGACGCCCCCGCCCCGCGCGCGCCCCGAGCCGCGAGAGCCGACGCGGGGCTGGCTGCACGCTTTCGGCCGCCCGCGGGTGGCGGCCTCTCGGCCCCGGCCCTCGGGGGCCGCGCGAAGCGGCTGCCGCAAGTCCCGGGAGGGCGGAAGTTCGGGGCCCGGGCGGCGGAGGCGCGGGCGCTGAGGTCGCGGCCCGCGGGGCCCCTGGCGCTGCTGGACGCCGCCCCCCGCGCCGCAGTCGGCTCGGGGACTCCGGCGGGTGAGGGCTTCCGCCGCCGTTGCGGTCGGGGCCACACACTCCCTGCAGGACGTGGCTCCCGGCCGAGCCGCACACCAGCCTCAAGCCCCCCGCTGTCCCGATCGTGGGTCCCGCCTCTCACCCGGCTGCTCAGCCTGAATCTGGCAGTGAACCCCCGGACAGGGCCGCCTGCGCACCCCTCTGCTGAGGGCAGTGAACTCTTCGGTAGAGGGGGCGCCTAGCCCCGTAATTCAACAAGTCCTTATGAGTACCTACTGTGAACAAATGACTGATGGAAATGGACTAGCTGTAGAGCCACGTCCATGAGGTTCATTCTTATAGATAACGTTTTTATTCGGCTCCACTGGGCTACTAAATATCAATAATTTTTTTTTTGCGGGGGTGGGGAGGGGTGAGAGGAGATGCATTGCTATGGTATTACTTATTTGAGAGATCCAAGTATGTTGTTGATGGAAGAAGCTATACCGACTAGGCAACTTGTAATTTTTTTTTTAACTAATTTTCTATCCTTCAAAAGCATTTTCGAATTCGTTTTAATAGGCTGAAGTTGGGTCTTCATTTCCCTTGGAAATGTCTCCAGTGTAATCCAGCAAGATTGGCGTTTGTCAAAGCTGAAACAATTACGATCGATTCACTTTCTCTAGCATGTTGTTTTATGCTTATTTTTCTCCAAAACAATGGAGAGAGTACAAAAAGCAACAGTGAAAGTTATCTTGAGGCTTTTATCCCTGTAATTAATGCATGCAAACAATAGGTCTTTATACATAGGTACAGGCAGGAAACCTACTTCCTCATTCACTCCTGGAGTGGGATATGTAGTTTTAGGCATAGCTAATACTTCACGGCTCAACATGTCCTTTAAATAACTTATTTTTTTATGTCTTAAAATATATTCCTATATGCAGTGGTAATGTCAACTGCTATCACTATAGCACATGTGGGCCCCTGCAGTGGATGAAATCCACACACTAAGATGATGTTCCGTGAGATCCATTGTCTAGAACGACTTTCGCATTTGTGTCTTTGCTAGTAATTCTGTAGAAGTGTGGCAAATGGTTGTGGTTAACTGGGCTGCTCATAATTAAAACAGATTGAGCAGAAAAAGAAATTTCATCAAAGCAATGTTTCTAATATAAACGTTTTCGAAAGTGTAAATAGCATTTCCAGGTACTAATCCCCAATTTTAATTATCATACACAGAGGTAAGGAATATACAGTTGAGTTGATTAGCCATACATTTAAAATCAGATGACTGACTAATCAATAGTAAAGGATTTTTTTTTGTACAGATGTTTCTTTTTTCTGTGTTCAGTTTCTTGGTTTTTGGTTTTTTGCTAAATAAGGCACACTGTTAAAACTGTAAGAAATTTTTACACTTAGAACATCTACAGAATAAAAACTTATGTATTCGTATTTTCATATATTCGGGTGCCAAAATAATTGAAGGATTTTTCTATAATGTAGCTGTCTTAATCTAAATTTAGAATTAAGATTTTTAAATCCCTAGTAATACTTTAAGCAAACACACATTATCAAAGGAAATGTAAAATTTGCATCAATGCAGCAAGCTGTTTTTCCCATCAAATTTAAGTGTACTGAAGAATTACCGGGTGACTAGCATTAAAACAAATTAGTGGAATTTAACAAATTGCCCAGAATTTTTATTTACTTCTCTCAAAAAACAAATTGTTCCAATTGTCTCACCAAAAACATGAGATGAATAACTTCTGCAAAATGAAGACAAATTCCATCATTAAACCAATGAGAAATACAAACATCAAAGTACCTGATGAATTGGTGAAATAAGTGATTTTGTAAAAAATGATTCTTAAAAATTAACCTTGGGCAATACGTTTCATGAAAAAATACTTGGTTTTTCTTTTACACATTTTCCTCCTAGAGCCAACCACTTGGGTTTGACATAAATTAATCCATTTTGTGAAACTGCAAAAAGACACACAGTTCTAAATTTCAGGCTGTATTCCTAGAAACCAAGTGTCTTCAGCTGGTTTAACAGAGGAGGCATTCCTTGCCATAATATCAGACCATTGGCGTATCAGGCAGTGGCTACATGGAACCTTAACATAAAGCATCCCCCATCACTAAAACCCATCTTTTGAATCACCTTTAGGCAAATAAATAAATGTGCAGATTGTTTTTGCACTTCCGACAGAAACATTAATCCAGCCAGCACTTTAAAGAAGGCCCGTTCATGTTTTGCGTAGTTAACTCTATCAAATCTATTCATTAAACATTTATTGAGCACTAAGACAATAAGCTCCCGTTAGAGGGAAATGGATGACTGGCTCCTTTTGATTAGGTCCCTTAAAGTAATATGAAATTGTAATTGTTAATCAACCTTACTTGAGAGTAAACGGAAACAGTAGAAAACAGTGAAAGGAAGGCGTGGTCTCCTCTGGACTCTATATGCGAATCTCCTTGGGAAGAACCCTCTCCCAGCAGAAAGGTAAGACTAAGTCATACTCCATGCATTTATAAACAATGAATCCTGACTCTCTAAGAATGCCTGTTAAAAATATCTCTTTTGACAACCTGAAAACACTGGACAATAACCAGGATCAGCTTTTCATTTAGCCGGTCACCGAGTGGGCTATTTATGGATTGGAGCTTTTGATTTGCAATACATCATCTCAGGGTTCAGTGTTATCTCTTGATTTCTTTCCAGCTGAACAGGCTAAGTAGTTGTAAATACTTCTTGTCAGACTACATGGTTGGCTATTCTCGCACACAGGAGTAATCTAGGAACCCACTGGGCAAATTCGGCAGAGAGCCACTGTGGAAAGCTTGCATCTAGTGTGTGCTGCAGACCAAGGGAGGGGTGGTGAAGGTGGTGGGAGGCGGTGGCCGTGGTGGTGGCGGCAGCGGTGGCAGCAGCAGTGGTAGTGATATTCATGGCCGCTTCAGTTATGCCAGGAACACTCTTCATGCTTGGGGTTATGTGTTCTCCAGGCCTTCATTGGTTCGACACAACAGTCCTTGCTAGACTGAGGAAGCACATTGTAATGGCTACCATAGAAAGTGAAGGAGAAGCAATGGACATATCATCCATGATAATCAAAGAGCACAAAGGTGTATGTTTTGTCACTGTTTCTAAGAACTAAGATAAATACCGCTGTGTTGCTAAGAAATTATGCTTTGGAGATATACTCCCCCCCCCAACATACAACATACACACACACACACACACACACACTATTAAAAATTTCAAAATGGTTGCAGATATTTCATTCACAAGAAGGTTAAAGGCGTTTCCCATCGAAAGAAGGATTAACTTACCCGAGGATTCTGGGACTGCAGATGTATACTGCGGCAAAATCCTAAATTCATCGAAAAAAATCATTTCTGGACTCCAGCTGCTAAAAATAATAGAATTATAGTAATTCATGAATAAGATTAAAACAAGCCATTTTCACATTCCAAAGTGTTCAGGAAAAAAAATGATTCTTTTCTTTTAACTCATTTCTTAAACAATGCAAATTTTAAAGTAGCTTTTCTTTCCCGAGCACGAAGCGCCATGAAATCGATAATTTTTGATCTTTCGTTTAGTAGGCAACATGGTGAGCTAGTTGCAGGGACTGCAGGCAGCAGACATGTTCTTGTCAGCTCAAAATTTTCATATTGTTTTTGAATCCATTGAGATTTGTAGATGTGATATCACCGTTTTTTTTTTTTTTTTGTCTTAGCTGGCACTAGGCAATAGGAACGCAAACCCTCAGTTTATCGACATAGGCATGTCTATTGCTTTATATATATTAAAAACAGGGAGTCTTACTGGATCTTAAACAAAAAATTATGTAAAAGGAGTGGCCGGTGTGATTATAATCCCATCATGCAGGGTCCACGGTTCCCATTTAGTGAAATTTCGCAGAGGGCAACTTCTTAAGAACATCCCTGCTGTGCAGAGTGAAAAGCATGAACAAACCAAAGACAGAATTCATCTGTGTTTATATTTTACAAACAATGAAAAACCTACTCTTTGTATGCCTCTTTTCCCCCATCTTATTATTTCATGAAAACTGCAGCATTTTCCCCGCCCCCACCCAAACACTCACCACCCCAGCACTGCAGTATTCCGTACCTCTTAGGCTTCGCCTCCGTCTCCTTTTTCGCTTTCACAAATTCTGCACGCGCCATCTTTGTGTGGGGCGATTCTTTGCTAATTTCAGTCACCCATTCTCTTACAAATCGGTTCAGAAATAGAAAATGATGGTGCGCTTTGGGGCTTCATGTGCCTAAATTTCTTTGTCTTCCCTTCTGACAATGAAAAATGGAAATGGCAGGGGGAGGGAAGCCAAAAAAAAAAAAGATTTCTATTAGTACCATAACCTGTTGTATACAGTGGTGATAAAAAATATTATTAACATAATAGCAACAGCTGCAGACTAAATAGGAGCTATGAGATAATTAATGTGCTACAACAAATTAATTTGCTGCAGGTGCCTCTGCTGTGAACCGAGTAACCCATGCCATATAAAGTCTAAATACAATTATGATTCCCCCCTCATGCTAAAACAAAATACAGAGCAAAATGTGTTATTTGGTAAATATTATGCATGCCTACTGTAAAAAAAAAAATCCTCCCCAGTCCCTTTCCTGTTCCCCACCAACATATCTGAAATGGTTTAGTCATCAATGGATACGTGTGGAGATGGAGCAGGTGTGTATGTGTATGGGTGTGTATGTACAGAGGTGGCGGGTATGGCATTTTAAAAACATGAAGGTTTTATGCTGTGTCTTAGTTGGAAAACGTATGTAAATTTCTGTTAGCAAAAATATAGAGCTAGTTTATAATGTTTATGAGCTCTATTGGTTTTAAAAGAAAAATTAGATATATTTATGTGTGTGGCTAACAGAAAAATAACAATGTGGAGCAGTTGCCTATCTGAATGAAATTTTTTTTTTAATCATCTGTCTTACGGAAGAGGGAAATGTGTTTGTAGTGTGGCACTCTTCATTGAAGTGAGAGGTATTTTTACTCTCGCATGCTGTCAGGTTGAGTGTTGATGGAGAATGGTTGCTGGTTATATCACAGGGGTGTGATATAAGGGCATCAGGGCATCATGGACGGGGACCTGGAGAAGGTAACAGTGCCAGAAACAAGTGTCCATGTTCTGTTTTGTGCCACCCAGCACAAAATAACTTTGGGCCCAGAAAAGTGGAGGAACATACAGATTGAATTATTTTTTCACTACGTGACTAAAACATTCTCTTTGAGTAAGGACGGAGACAATCTGCTTTTTCTCCCAGGAATTACCACTAAAGGACATGACAGTTTGTTTTCATTGCAACCTTAGTTGGTTTTTTGCTAAAAAGCCACCAAATACAAATTTGATCATTGGCCTACATGTTCAAGGCCACTGCTTATTAAAATTTATTTTATTGAAGTTAAATTTTAATCCTAAATCTTGCAATAAATTGGATTCATTTCTTATCCGATGCATAGATTTTGATAGCATTTGGATTTAACTTTGCAGAAATTTTAGTTCTAGGAGAAGATACAAAATTATTCAAACAGAACATCATTTCAGCTATCCCCAGAAGAGACACTGCATTTGCACAGGTTTTCTTTTAAATATGTTTTATTTCACATATTCCTTTCGGAGGGGACAGCAATGCTTTGAACCACCACCATTCTCTCAGCAGAGGTACTGTATGTACACCTGTCACACTATTTCTCTCGCAGGGGCGGGCATGCATTTTAGTCCATCTTTCTTTTGTTTATACTCAAGCTTTTTCCTCATAATCCACTTTCAAATCTGCTCCTATTTTGAATTTACAATTTTAGAATTTGAGTTGGAGGGAGATGAAGAAGGAACAGTGACCATATTGTTTTTCTTTTAAAAGAGGGAGAAAGAAATAGCCAATTCTTCTATAAAAATGAGAAAAGTTGACAAGTAGGGAATATTACATCTCAGGGATTTTTCCAGTAATTTTTATGTCAGCCAATTGTTGTTCCACACAAAAGCAACTCTCTGAAATTGTGGAGTTCTATAATTACAAAATCAATTAGGGAAAATTAAAAAAAATGCTTTCATTTCTGTTGCCTCAAGGGATTGTCCATTCAAAATATTTTTCCTTCCACTGTAAATTGTATTCGAGTCTAAGCTGTAAGAAATCAAGGCAGTAAACGTCTACCGCACATATTTCTTTCCTATTAATGTTCTATTTTCGTAGCATAAGGATCCCAGTTCTTTGAAACCTTCCTCTTATGACTTAGTTTTCAGAACCTGTATTCTTAGGTTGTCAGTACAAGTGACGCTGTATAGGTTCTAAACAGTGAAAAACGTGGTGGTTGTAAGTCAATTCACTTTGGGGTGGTTTGTTACATAGGAAAAGCTACCTAATGGAACTAAGATGATTCCATTTTGGGCTTGTGTTTTGTGTTTTTTTTTAAATCACATCATACTGCAGGTTTATTATCCTGAGCTTGTTTATCCTCTAAAACAAAAATGTCTAAAGATTTTTAATTATGCAGTCTTCTTTGTACAATGATTTTGAGTATGCACCCTCTAGATGTACAATTATTTAAATTATATACATGTACTGCTGTCAAAGCATATATTAAATATCCATGAAGCTTGCCTTCTTTTTTTCATGATAACAAGTAAATACAGGAGTAGCAGTATTTTATTTCTTAAGACCAATGGGTTCTCATGGGCAGCTTCTGGGTTATATTCACTCCATTCAGGACCACTCTTCTAAAATTCTTAAAGCTTTCACAAAATCTGTGTTACATCACGTTTCACCCTGTGTGAATGTGTGTGATTTGTTTTTTAAAACTAAACTCGGCTTTATTTGTTATCATCGCTGCTTGTTGCAGAGTCGGTTAGCAAATCACACGTTGATCTTTTCTATGAACTGACTTCAAATAAACCCCCTTTGGTAAAAACCACCATTCGTGGTTCTTGCCAATGTACCTAGAATACATTCTGGTTTATGGACTCTCTTGCATCACCATTTTCTCTTGATATTTAACTCCTGTGTGTGTGTGTGTGTGTATGTGTGTGTGTGTGTGTGTGTGTGTGTGTGTGTATTCTCAGTCTTGCTTTTTTTAAATTATGTTGTAGCAAGGAGGTGTTCACATTTTCAACACAGAGGATAAAGATGACTTTTTAATGTGAAAAGATTCTGAGATACCTCACATGACAATAGCTGTGCTTTTAGTATCTCATGATTAAAAATCTACATAATGAGAAAAAGCTGCTATAAAGTCAGTAATGCTTTTAGACAAATGTATGTTTTATTAGTTCTAGTGGAATCTACATGAATTTGAATGCTAATCACAAAAATATGCAGAAGACTCATTTTTCAGAGCACAGACGATCCTTAGGGCACAGATGGTGTATTTGAGCCCTTGCTGCACTTGATAGTGGTGAAAACAGAAGCAAACTGCACTCTGCCATGCACCAGCTCTGTGACCCGGACAGGCTTCTTAACCTCTCTGAGTCTCCGCATCCCTCTGTAGTGGCAGTAACAGCAGTGGTGCTGGGAGTCACAGTAATCCAAATGGTGGCTTCCGTTTGTTGAGCCTCTGCCAGGTATGAAGCTTTGCCTGTCACAACCCAGGGAACTTCACCTTTCACATCTAAGGCCTCTTTTAACCATTACAACCTGTAAAATAGGGCGACATTATTTTCCCCATTTCACATCTGGGGAAAAGGAGACTTAGGGAAGTTAAGGAGTTTGCTCAGGTTATAAGCTAGATAAACAGAGCTGAGATTTAAAGTCTAGACCTGTGTTGTCCAGTGCCGTAGCCATGAGGAGTATGTGACTATTTAAATTTGAATGAATTAAAATTAAATGAAATTAAAATTTAATTCCTCAGTCTCATTATTAGCACATTTCAAGTCTCCACAGCCATATAGGGCACAGCGCGGTTACAGAGTCATCGGCACAGCAGTACGTTCCACTGGGAAATGCTGAACTAGACTGATCGACTGCAAAGCCTGTCCTTTCAGCACTGGATTTAATGCTCCCTTACCCATTCATTCCTTTACTTGTTTGTCCATTTAACAAACATTTACTGAATACCTACTATATGCCAGACCTGGGACTCTCGAGATTTATCTCAACTGTGTTGTCAAGAGGAAATGAAAGAACAGTTTTAAGCTATGACGTTCTAGGTAATAATGAGATACTTTTATGCCACAGTTGCTACAATAGTGAGACTATGTAACTCTTCTTGGAATCCTCTCCTCCTCCTGCACCTCCACCCCCTGCGTTTAGCAGGGTGCAATACCCATCAGAAGTGAACGCAGAGGCTCTCATGACACTGCACGTCAGTTTTTGTCCCTCCGCTTTCTGAACGCTTTTCCTAATTTAGGTGCGTTCATCACACAGAGTGTTGTGGGCAATATGGGCCGTGGCCCCTGGAGCATGAACTTGAAGTCTCAGCTGAAACAATCAGATGCTTCTGCTTGGGACTTTGAAACTGGAACGACACGAGAAAGCAAAAACAGATTTAATTATTTCAGTGACGGTAGGAGTAATATCCACTTTTTATGCAACCGTCACTTTACTGGACTTGCAATGGGATGGTTCCTCCATTACCACTGGGTACTCCATAAAGTGAATGCTCATGACCTTCCTGGTTTTGTCAGTCAACAAAGTCCTATGATCGTTAAGTTGCAAAACATGGTGTCCATGTAATGATCGTCACTTCTATCTTCAGCTGAAGGTAAAAATTTTCCTCCCGTCCCAGGAAGGGCTGCGAAGAATATAGGCTGACTTCCTTCCTCACACCATCACATCCGCCCCACCTCCTCGCTGCTAAATATTTTTGACCCTCCTGGTGTTGGGACCATGAGGCAAGAGGAATGTGGCATTTCTTAACAGATTGATTACTGTCATCAACGGGCTTTTGCTATCTGGGTCCAGCCAATGTTTACAGGTGGCCCTGTTCTGTACATTTTTATGGGTTTCTTGGAGCTCCCCTGCTGGAATGCTCTGACTGTTGCTTCCTTGCGGGGAGCATGGTGGGACTCTATAACCTTAGGGTCCTCTTCAAGGCTCTGCCTCCAGGCTCAGTCTCTTGTCCCTTTGATGTCCTCACTTGCCCACTTCTGGGTCATCTGCTTTGACATGTCAACCTGGTGACCGACCTCACACCTTACTCTGCCATCTAAAAACAGTCATGTCTTGGTACCTCAATTGGAACTTCTGGTCTGTTCCCCTAGAGACAGCAGAGGGAACCA